TTTATTGTGCTGGAGATTAACTGTGATTACATCCAAGGTAACTGGTCCATCAGCGTATACTGTTTTTTTTTTTTTTTGATATAAAGAATAATGGTATCGAGTCTTTACGACATTTAAAAAGTCTAAAAAGAACAACTTTTACCAGTATCTCCAACAAAAGTGGGTTGAGTTTAATTGGCTTGAGCAATCAAGCAGAGGCAAGAAAACATAAGACCAAGAATTTAGGTTAATTTTATATTTTTTTGTCAACGGTGGAAGAATTAATTTTTTTTTTTTGCAATCTAATTTAAAGAAAAGTAATTAACTTTCTAAGAATGTTTCAATTCTAGATAATGTTTCTTTTATAAATAATGTTGCAATGTCAAATCTTAAGAATTTGATATATAATTGTAATTCTTCGATTGCATAATTTCTTTGCTTTCATTTCTTCTTCAGAGGAAACCGTAAAACTAACAACCATTATAATTAACAGCTCTCAAAGGAACCATTGGATGGGATAATAATGTCGAACCATTAAAATTAACTATTTGTATAAATATCCATTTTTTTGAAGGCTGAACTATGCAAGGTAGGATTCAATTATTTTTCTTGTAAATGTGTAAACTTTTCACAATTCGAATTTGATAAATCTATCAACGTGCTGTCAAAAATCTGTGCTTTATTATTTATTGATACTTTGATTGCCATTTTCATGATCATTATCGTCATTCCGTGATCGTCATTTTCTATGATTTCGCCACAATATAACTGCCATTTTCCTTTATCTTTTTATATCTTCTTGGTTATCCTCTGAACCTGAATATTAAAAGAGCTACCACTTCATTTTCACGTTCACCTCTTCTTCATTCTTTTCTCACCTACTGCTTGCTTGCTTATTCCAAGATGACTTCTTTAGAATAGTGCAAGAGGGATTTTCATGTTTCTTCACTGCCAAGTAACTGTCATTTTCGCTTAATGGCAGAAATTTAAGCGAGTCATTCAACTGGAATTTTCAGGAACTTTGAGACTTCCCTCCCTAATACTCTCTTACTCTAACCATGAACACTCATCATATTAAGCTGAAGGGAGAAATAAATATGGTTGAATATTTATTTATATCGAAATGAAATTGTAATCTCGAAATTTGAGAAAAATAAATTTAAATTAATTCAAGTTACTAAAGAGAATGATAACATTTGCTGTATTTGTTGGAAAGAAAATGGTTGCAATGAAATCTGTACAAAGTATAATCAAAATTTTGGTATATGTCATGATTGTGGAAATTTAAATATATACAAAAAATGTATGCCTAAATTGTAAACTTATTGAAGTAAGCCATTTGTCAAAATGGACCAGTGGTAATTATGAACTTGACAAGATTATTCACATGTCTCAATTATATGAAAATGCAAAGGAATGGGAAATTTGGAGATGGATAGATTATGGTAAATTTAAAGATATCGAATATTTAGCTAAAGGGGGTTTTGGCAGTATTTGGAAAGCAGGATGTATAGATATGCCTGAAGAATTATTTGGATTCTATAATTCAAATCAAGTTGCTTTGAAGAAACTTAGGTATTCATAACAAATTAGTTCTGAATTTTTAGATGAGGTAAATATATTAAATCTATTTATCTTCTAATGCATGAAATAGAGAATTTTAACTTTA